GTACTCTTACACACCGCTACAAAATTATCATTATCATCATTTTGATGGTAGTAGGAAACCCAAGCCGAAGGTAATTGAACTTCGGGTGTGCACGTCTCACGTACTTAGAATTTCAAAGGTTTCATGTACCTGTGTATGTTATACCTGTGGTGATTAACATTACATAAACGGGTCTCATAGACTACACCTGTCGTGTCGATACATTGACTTTGATGTACATACGGTGCAATCTTAAAGAGAATCATTTATCAAGTCATTGTGTGATCAGGCTAATTTAAATAATTCTTTGTTACCTTAACAACACAGCAATGTGGAATGATGTCAGGTTAGGTAATGTTGTAAGCACGATAAAGAAAATTAATATAACGAATTAAAACTTTTTTAAATAAAAGTAATCTTCGATCAAAATGCTGAATGTATATGATATGAATACAATTGAAGTCTTTTTTTAAAATTTGTTAACAAACTTTATACTTGTATTAATCACTTAGTCCGGGTGGATGCACGCAAGAGTCTTACTGTGGCCGGGTAGGTGAAACACGTTCGGGGAATCAAACCTCAACCGTCTGGATGAAAGGTGAGTGCGTTAACAGATAAAATCCCACGCACTCTACCTCTTTACCGAAAGAGCACAATTAAAAAAAATCACCGCAGTTTTTTCCTTTATATATTTGGGCGTATTGTTATGTGCCAATCATCGTATGTATCCCTTCATGACATGTAAGTCAATCGGCAATGACACTCATCCGTGATATGCTGAATTAATATCGCGATATTTAATTTACTTACCTTCCTGAAGGAGGTAACAGGTTGATGTGTAGCAGCAAAATTATTTTCTCTTCCATTAATCCTGCTACGCACCAACGGACCGAAACCTATTCCTGTTAGGTCCGTCTACAATCATAGTAATTAAGGATGAAAAGGAAGACGATACTAGCAGTGGGTGATTACATAACAAACTGTAGAATTGCATCCTTTTTCAATGGTTATTCAAACATTAAAATACACTCTATCATCCTGACTGAAAAACCCATCTTCAGTGATTCTGAAGTCCGATGTGGAAACAGTAGTGATGATCCTAAATATTATTATCACGATGATTCTTAATTTATAATCACCGTAAATGTGAAACTATACCGATAGAAAGACGCTGGAGTCATTTTTCAATTATGAGTTTGATTATTATTTTTTCTCTGCGTGATGCCCTGTTACCTTTAAATGAAAGAAGAAAATTTAATCTATGGAAAGGTTGTCGCGAAAATAATGAAGAATGTCTGATATTCGGGAAAAAAATAAGAAAAATATATGAAAAGTTCCCATTACACATCATAATCTAACGCATCTAATGAAGAAGTGCAACAAAGATATCATTTTTTCGCTTTAATAATACTGAATTTTCTAAACCATCATCAGGACAAAAGTTCAATAGTGGGTGGGGTTTTTTATCTCTAAGAGGAGTAAATCCATTAAGCGATATTAGTTAATAAATAATATTTAAGAAAGAAAATGAAAAAAACTGTCCCCGCTGAGCGTCGAACCCGTGATGGCGTTCGCGGTCGAAGGCGTACATCTGCGCATGGGCAGAAGACAGCAATAACACTGCTGTTTTATCAACCTTATGCGAGATATTTGAGATAATGATAAATTTCTGCCGTACATAGTGGCATTGAATAATATTTGACCGTAACAATATATTCAAAGAACCCACGTAGCACAGGATATTGAACCCTGGAACACCGGAGGCCGAAGGTCGCCTACAAGTAGCTATGTAACGACACCGTGATGTACCTGTAGATTTAACTACAATTTCCTTCCTGGTTTTATTTGATCTTACACTTCCTGGAAAGGATCTAAAGGTTTGTAATGTTTCAATTTATACGGGAGTATGATTGAGACAATTATTTGTGTGACATCTAGAGTATAATTTTTGCAAAATGTGTATCGTCAAGTCTTGCGAAGAATCGTTTACGGAAGTTTCGTTTTCTCAACGATAAACATGGCAGAGTGCAAGCATCGACTTGCTACACATGCTTATCATTGACAGTCCTTTTGTAAATAAAAGTAGATATTATATCATTATATAATATTACATGTATCGTTCATGACTTACTGTGCGACTTTTGCAAACATATTAACTTCTACTTTCATTTTGACCAAGCTTTAAGGTTTAAGTTACGTCCCTTTGGTCGCACAAGTTTCACGCGATATCTGTAACCATATCTAAATAATATGTTTTGTAATGACCAAAGTTTGGTGTATACAAACATTCAAAAATTTAGTCTGCGGGTGTAATAAATAAAATCTCACCACCCAGTTTGGAAATAGTTGGAACTCAGCTTGAGTGGAAGGATGATTGAGTTAGCAGACACAAGGTTTTTCCATGTGTTTGTAACTTAACAACATCATTTCCCAAGGACGAAGATCACTCAATCTCACCAAATAGGAGTGTGAATGATTATTTTTCTCTTACCCAGCTGGTTTTGTTGGGTACTTTAGTAGAAATTGAACATACAGATCACCTTATTATCCTCTCTAGAGGGAATTTCCCTTTGATTTAGCGATAGAGTGTTCGACTGGAGCTAAATGTTCTCTCGTTAGAACCCCGGCGCTGGCAGGGTGTTTTTCATTACTCCTTCCTAATACAGATTTGGTGCCATGACCACACCATGGGTAGAACTATAGGATATTGAGATGCTTCCTTGGCGATATTGAACCTGGGTTGTTTTCTTCCAGGTTTAAGACTTTGTAAAGGAGTGAGTAGTGTAGAAGTTTAGAGTACAGGTCACCTTACCAGCCTCGACTAGAGGGAACTTCCCTTTTGACGAGCGATATAGTGTCCGGCTAGAGACTGAAGGCTTGCTAATTCGAACCCCAGCGGAGGCAGGGTGTTTTTCATTACTCCTTCCTATTACATTTGTATGTGTTTTTGTTGTCCCAATGCTTCACATCATTGACTGTGGCTTGTGCATGACCAACCTAGTGTAAGAAACAGTCTGTCACTCAGCTGATGGAGCATACTGATTATGTAGGTGCAATGGGTTCAGTTCTTGTCAGGCCTTGGGTGCTTGACAAATATGTGTTGTTTTTTACCCAGAGCAGAAATATTGGAACCTAAAAAAAATCTGAGGAATTATATTGAAAGAGTCTGGTTAAGATATAAAAATCTTGGGGAGGAAAAAAAAAACAACAACAGGTGTAGTGCTAAAGTAGTGGGTCAATGTGTGACTTATATTAGTAATGTTGAATAGAGTCTCGGTCAGCAGGTGTAGCATGCATGTTTGTCTCAGTTGGTAGAGCCTTGAATTATTATGCTGGAGACCAGGTAAGATTCTTGTCAGTGAAGTGCTTGTGGAAGGAATGTGCTTTCCCTTGTACTCATACAGCTAAAACTCACAAAATTTGTTAGTATTACTTTAAAACAGTGTATGCAAGGACACTACAGTGCATAATTTTTTTTTTATTTGATCCACATATAAACCGCACCGAAATCTAAGCCACACCCTTTTTTACAAAGTGGTAATCATGACCACTTAATTACCTGTAGATGTTTTTTTTATCTACATATAAGCTTGCCTGACTCGCAAGGACAAAAACGTGCAGCTTATAATCTAGAAAATATGGTATATATCGTCTAGTGACCATGCCTCTCACATCAGTGACCTTAAGAATAGGTCGAAATCAAATGTATTTAAACCAACTTCAGATAGTGGGATACTTTCTCTAAACATGTACTTTATTGATTTTCATCTGATTGATCCTTTTCCAAAGGATTTAAACATAATTTAAGAGGTTTTCAAATTTTGAACTGATATTTCATATTGCAAGGCTAAGCATTGAACAGTTTCTATGATACTCATTACATTCCGATGGTCTTTTGGTTCATCGGTAGGTGTTAGAGGTTTTAAATTAATTTGACCTTGAAAATGAGTCAAAAATTTTACTTTTTTTGCATGCTTTATCAAGATGTATCCCTGATCTATGCTGGCCAAAAGATCAAATTTCTGTGCCAGCCTTCATTTTAACAGAAGAAGTAATTAAATCAATTTGACACCTATGACCTCAAACAGAGGTCAAGGTCATTTCTTTTGGTTAACAAATCTTGACAATACAAAACAAGATGCTGGATGTTGCAACACATATTTTTAGGCATGCTTGGTGTTTTCAGCCAGATGAGTTTATTAACAAGTTAAGTTAATATCTATTTTAAAAACAATGTATTCATTAACACAATATATTAAAAATATTTCTTTAATATTAAACTATCCAGCTAAAAGTCCTGGCTATGGAAATGTATGTGGTATGAAAGTTAGTGTGTACAAAACTCCTCAATCTTAGTCAAACATAAACTTTACTATTACCTTTTTTGACTGTCATCAGAGATCTTTTGTTTAGCAGTGTAAGACCACTTCCAAAATGTTTGCATATTTTATTGAACAAGTAAGGAAGCATCCATGGCTAATTGAAAAAAAAAATATATATCATTTTACTCCAACTTCATCATAAAATCTTGTATATTCAAACAGCCATAAGTATTCAAACCATTCTTTCCAATTTAAGATTTAAGATTTTGGCTGCATAAATCACAAACATCCATCTTTGAAACTTCATTTCTTTTTAATACAGAAGAGTTCCACAAGGGAGACAAATCAAATACACAAAATAAGTAATAGATGGTTTACATGAAAGTCATATATATATATATACATACCCATATAGATAACAATGGTTTTTTTTCCAGGTTATCATAATGTGATAATCTGTCAACAGCAAAGCCAAGTGGGAAATTTTCTGCTTCAGACTGTCATATACATACAGCTAGAATTACTATCAAATGTTAGGATGTAAAAGTTTTAATGTCAGGAGGAGAAATGTTTGGGAAATATATATACACTGCACTTATAATTAGTTGTATTTATTGAAAACATTTACTATTAGTTTGTATATATGTTCGGAATATCTAGAAGTCTGAAATGTTTTATTTTTTCAGAATAATTTTCAAAATGGCAAGCAACTCTGGATCATTAGGTAAGATGAGTAACAACTCAAGACGAAAGTTCATTGAGACAATGATTGCCGGGATCTCTGAGAACAGCCAAGATGAATCTATGGCAGATGTAGATATAATTGTGGAGGGCGAGAAGTTCCCTTGTCACAGACTCATCCTGGCAACAATGTCTCCCTACTTCAAGGCCATGTTTCATTCTGGAATGATGGAAACACGTGAAAGGGCAATAACAATTCCAGGAATATCTAAATCAGCTTTTGTGGAAGTAAGAGCAAGTATGTATGGAAGTGACTATAACATCACAACAGAGAATGCGATGGAGTTACTCCATGCTGCAGCTCTGTTCCAGATCATCTCGCTGCAGGAGGCATGTGAGGAGTTCCTTGCTAAAGAGATGGATATGGAGAACTGTCTGATGCTTTTCAAGGTTGCTCGATCCTGTAACTGTAAAGTTTTATTGGAGAAATGTAGACCATTTGTTATGGAAGGGTTTAATGGGCTTTGGAAATCTGATGAGTTTAAGACTTTGGATTTAGAGGATTTGGAGAGTATCGTCAGAGATGATGACCTCGTCCCTGTAGATGAAGAACAGATATGTGAAGCAACACTGAAGTGGGTGGAGGCTGATTTAGGCAAGCGGGAAAAATATCTTGGAAGATTATTTAGGCATATCAGACTTGTTAATGTTAGCCCAGAGTATCTGTTAGATGTATTATACAATATGGAATTATTAGTGAATGATGAAAACTGTAAACGTTACCTGGATGAAGTGAGAGACTACCACATACTGCCAGCTAGGCGACAGGAGTTTGCTTCAGGAAGGTTCCATCTTAGGAACAGTGATGATTTTGAGGAAGTGATTCTGGCATTGACAGAATATGACATGGAAAGATCAGGGTCCTTTTATCAGGATGGAAAGTGTCTGTGGGCCTACAGCCACCACCAGGGACGCTGGTACACCCTTGCTCCCATCCCTCTTCAGCAAAATCCCGGCACAGGTTTTAGTGTAGTGCCATTTCGCAATGACTTGTATCTCACTGGGGGGACTTCTACCATGAAGAATGTGCTAAAGTATGACTCTGAGCGCAATGAATGGGTTTCGTGTGAATCTAATCTGAAGCGAGGACGCTGCAACCACATGATGGCTGCAGTTCGTGAGAGTATATATGTACTTGGTGGATACAATGCTAAGATGGCAGAGGGAAACAACGTTCAGGGATCTATTGAGGAGTATAACATAAATTCCCGTCGCTGGCGGACAACTGGTGAACTCATCACCTCTGTGCAATCTGCAGCTGCAGTGGCAATTGGAGAGAAGATTTACATCCTTGGGGGAAAAGAAGAAGATGAGTCATACTTTGATGGCATCCAGATATTTGACACACGACAACGTGAAACAAAAGTGGAGCCAGGCATCCTGAAGGGATTAACTCAACCTCTTCAGGTCATTGCCGTAGATGGCAAAGTTATTGTCATTACTGCTGCTGGGGAGGTGTATGACTTTAGATACACTAAGATGAAGTTGAATCTGGTGAAGCGCTTGCACCAAGATTGCATACCAATACTGGGTACTGCTCATTACAGGGGTTATATCATGTTACTCTCTGCCTCCAAAGACAAGCCTCTAGTCTTCTCCAAGCTATTTAGGTTAGAGCTGAGGTGCTCTCCCACGCGACTTGATGTTCTATCTCCTAAAACCAACACAAAGCCCAAGCCCATTCATGCTTGTCTTCGTTGCATTGTCAATAAACAGTTCATGTATCATACCTATTTCCAATAGCTTAATAACTTAAGAACAAATGGAATTAATTTAAAATTTTTTCTTATCAGATGGTTTAACTGACAAGAAAGATAGCTAGACACTGCATAAGGTATATCTCACCTGATATTCATCCAAAACGGTGAAATAGACTTCAGGAAATCTTCAATGATAGACAAATGATAAATAACTTGGTATCCAACTATGTTTACAGTTATTTTATTCTCTTTGTCTGTCCTGTCCCATCATCCCATCCCGTCCCATTGCATCCTTTTGTGACAGGATGGGATGATGGGATAGGACGTGGTGGGGACATCAGATTTACAATTTATACTTGGAATTATGGACTTTGTTCATCTATATATCCAGATAAATTTCAGACTTAAGATGGATCAAGCATGTTTTTGTTATGATATTGACTGATATCTGGTGGAAATAATGTTTTTGAAAACTTCTTTTTACCTTTTTTTGTGAAACTTTATCTAGATCAGTTTACTGATACACTATAATGCTATCTTTTTAATAATGTTTTTTTTTTTATCAGTTTTTGTGCACTTACTTATCTATATCTTTAATCTATCAAAACAATTTCAATGTTATTCCTATCCTGCCTTCATTCTTATCCTTCCTTCAGTTGCAAGCGAAAATTTTGTAACAGCATGAAATTTGAAATTTTGAGAAAATATCAAATTAAATTTAACAATTAGAAATTAATGTGTACATTTTATGCGAATCAAGAATTCTCCTTGATATAAAAAAAAATTGAGGTTTGTGTTTCTTGCGTTGCTGAGTTTTGGCTTGTTTTTTTATACAAAATTACTGAGTTTGCAGCAGTAGAATGGCTTTCATACATTTGTAGGGAGTTTGAAGTAAGGAGGGGACAGTTGGTATAAGATTTTTTACCCTATTATCATTGTCTGCTTAATAAAAGTGTTTTCTATCACTTGCAGATGTGATATAAACAGTGAAGTGCATATATTTCCTTGATATGTACAGAGGATAGGAAGTTTAAAATATTTGCATGTGAACTATTTTTAGATGATCTGTACCAAAAGGTCAGGATGACCTACAGCCATTTTGCTTGGTCTGTTGTGTACCGTCAGCCATTCATATACCTTTTGCTTTTAAACTTCTTCTCAAGTTCCACCAGTTGGGTTGAGCTGAAACTTGCTTAAAATGGTCCAGAGATTTGGGTTGGTCTGAACTGCATGGAAGAGTATTTCTTGCCTTTAATGTTAAAATATCTAGATAACCACTGCTACTGTTATCTCCTATATAGGTCTTTACACTAAGATGACCATTATAGTCCACTGGCCTCTTGTTTTAAACTTAGCACACTTAACTTATTGCCTGCCCATAAAGTGCTGTTATGCTTTATTTTGCGAACTTACCTCTAGATCTATAGACATATTCACGGAAACATAACTTTGTGAACGGTGATCTAGAAATTACTTTAAATTTGCTAATAATGAACTGTTAGATTTATGGTATGTATTTTGATATTGGTAAAGGAATCGTATTGGATGTCACCAAGACTTATTTTTGTACAAACAGTTGCAAGGGATTTTAATTTATGGCTGACTCTCCTAGTTTATTAAGGCAGAAGTAAATCCGATGTGCTTGTGTGAAACAGAAAGAAATGTTAACCTACTATCCTCTCTGTTCTTCCTTAACTTTTAGTCTAATGAGAGAGCACCTAAATTCTAACAGCTTGCTCAATACTAACATAACTCTGGCTTGAGTGTGACGAGGAGTGGCAAGAGAAATGCAGCGTAACAGTCTCTGGAGCGTTTTACTTAAATATTAATTAGTCACTTCTAAAGTACCTGCTTCCTTTCATCAATTTTCCTTTGAATCATGACTAATTAACTGTGCTGAGACACTGGATCTATGACTACAAAATATATATGTAATATGATTTGTATGTTGGTGGAAGTTGGTTTGACACCTAGCAACCATGCAAGAACAGCTTGTGTCAGACAAAGAAGTGGTTAATCTTCAAAAGAAGTGCTAGCTACAGATATTTGTGAGAAAATTGTCCTCCTAACATACTGCTCAGAGAATAATTATTAGTGGAGGTTGCTTTTTATGCTTCGCAGTTTGTGGCTACTGTAAAATCAAATATTTTTGTGGGGCTTGATTTTCATAATTTTTCAAAAACTTCCTAATTCATAGACAGTTGATTTCATGAATGCATTTAGCTCAATACATCTGTATATACTAAATTCTACAACTCATGGGCGTATAGATACATGGAATAAGAATACAAATGAAATAAATGAAAATAAAATCCCTACAAAAATTAATCATTTGACAGTATACTACTTTATACAGCATGTATGAGGCTTAATCTTTGGTGTTTAGATTTTGCTTTAATTTGCCATGTGTAAGGTATTGTGTGACTTAATTTTCTTTGTATTAGATGGTAAGTCTAGTTTTGTGGTAAGATAATTTCAACTTTTGCTTTTTATTCCTATCAAACAGGACCCACACACACTTGCTGATAAACTACAGAAATCTTGCTTGTAGATTTAACCTATAATTAACTGTTATAAGGTTTATAAAATCATTGACCCGAAAACAATAACAACCCAGGTTCAACATTTTCAAGAAAACAAGTAGTCTCCTAGAGTCTGATCCTTTGAGTAGGCAATGTACCAAATCTGTAATATGACGGATTAATGAAAAACAACCTCCCACTGTTAGGGTTTGAACTTGTTGTCCTTCGTTCTTAGGCCGGACACTCTACCACTTGGCTAAAAGGAAAGTCCCACAAGCTGAGGCTAGTAAGGCGACCAGCATTCTCAGCTTCTACACATATCCAGACAAGATACATCATGATTCAGAATTCAGAGATTTCCCCGTACTTAAATTCATAATAGTAGATTCTAGTCTTGAAATCAATAGTGAATATTGAATACAAATGTAATAATAAACTTTGCCATGTATTTAGATACAATACATAAAATAGTAAAGTTTGCTCTGCATCTGAGTCCATAAAAAGTTAGCTTGTCCTTTACCCAGACAATATACTTTGGTCATCAAAAGGCAGCTTGTCCTTTACCCAGACAATATACTTTGGTCATCAAAAGGCAGCTTGTCCTTTACCCAGACAATATACTTTGGTCATCAAAAGGCAGCTTGTCCTTTACCCAGACAATATACTTGGGTCATTAAAAGGTAGCTTGTCCTTTACTCAGATAATATACTTGGGTCATTAAAGGTAGCTTGTCCTTTACCCAGACAATATACTTGGGTCATCAAAAGGTAGCTTGTCCTTTACCCAGACAATATACTTGGGTCATCAAAAGGTAGCTTGTCCTTTACTCAGATAATATACTTGGGTCATTAAAGGTAGCTTGTCCTTTACCCAGACAATATACTTGGGTCATCAAAAGGTAGCTTGTCCTTTACCCAGACAATATACTTGGGTCATCAAAAGGTAGCTTGTCCTTTACCCAGACAATATACTTGGGTCATCAAAAGGTAGCTTGTCCTTTACCCGGACAATATACTTTGGTCATCAAAAGGTAGCTTGTCCTTTACCCAGTATAGACAATATACTTGGGTCATCAAAAGGTAGCTTGTCCTTTACCCAGACAATATACTTGGGTCATCAAAAGGTAGCTTGTCCTTTACCCAGACAATATACTTGGGTCATCAAAAGGTAGCTTGTCCTTTACCCAGACAATATACTTGGGTCATCAAAAGGTAGCTTGTCCTTTACCCAGACAATATACTTGGGTCATCAAAAGGTAGCTTGTACTTTACCCAGACAATATACTTGGGTCATCAAAAGGCAGCTTGTCCTTTACCCAGACAATATACTTGGGTCATCAAAAGGTAGCATGTCCTTTACCCAGACAATATACTTGGGTCATCAAATGTAGCTTGTCCTTTACCCAGACAATATATTGGGTCATCAAAAGGTAGCTTGTCCTTTACCCAGAAAATATACTTCGGTCATCAAAAGGTAGCTTGTCCTTTACCCAGACAATATACTTGGGTCATCAAAAGGTAGCTTGTTCTTTACCCAGATAATATACTTGGGTCATCAAAAGGTAGCTTGTCCTTTACCCAGACAATATACTTGGGTCATCAAAAGGTAGCTTGTACTTTACTCAGACAATATACTTGGGTCATCAAAAGGTAGCTTGTACTTTTCCCAAATGATAGATCAAAATGATAGATCAAGTTTTACTCTGTCAGTACATAATAAAGTATGGTATATAGAGGCTTTGTACCTACTGTTACTTATAGAGGCCATCAAATGAGTGGTATATAGAGGCCATCAAAAGGAGTTTTCCCTGTTCCCAGTGGTATATATAAATTAATACATGAGTGGTATATATAGACTATCAAAAGGTATTTTTCCCTGTTCAGTGGTATAAGGCCATCAAAAGGTACTTTTCCCTGTTCCCCAGTGGTATATAGAGGCCATCAAAAGGTAGTTTTCCCTGTTCCCCAGTGGTATATAGAGGCTATCAAAAGGTAGGTTTCCCTGTTCCCCAGTGGTATATAGTGGTTCCCCAGTGGTATATGTTCCCCAGTGGTATATAGAGGCCATCAAAAGGTAGTTTTCCTGTTCCCCAGTGGTATATAGAGGCTACAAAAGGTAGTTTTCCCTGTTCCCCAGTGGTATATACAGGCCATCAAAAGGTACTTTTCCCTGTTCCCCAGTGGTATATAGAGGCCATCAAAAGGTATTTTTCCCTGTTCCCCAGTGGTATATAGAGGCCATCAAAAGGTAGTTTTCCCTGTTCCCCAGTGGTATATAGAGGCCATCAAAAGGTAGTTTTCCCTGTTCCCCAGTGGTATATAGAGGCCATCAAAAAGTAGTTTTTCCTGTTCCCCAGTGGTATATAGAGGCCATCAAAAGGTAGTTTTCCCTGTTCCCCAGTGGTATATAGAGGCTATCAAAAGGTACTTTTCCCTGTTCCCCAGTGGTATATAGAGGCCATCAAATGGTAGTTTTTCCTGTTCCCCAGTGGTATATAGAGGCCATCAAAAGGTAGTTTTCC